GTGGCCAACAGGCGGGAGAAGATCTATGAGGAGCAGGTGGGGCTCTGCTGGGGGTGCTGGGGGCTTGGGCGAGATGTGGAGGGACTTGGGTGGGATGTTGTGGGCTCTGGTGGAACATGGAGAAGGACATGGGAGGAGTCAGATGGGATGTTTGGGCTCAGGTGGGATGAGAGTGGGAAATTGTGGTCTCTGGTAGAACATGGGGGGGGGCTCTGAGAAGGACATGGGAGGAGTCAGATGGGATGTTGAGGCTCAGGTGGGATAGAGAGGACTTGGGTGGGACTTTGTGGGCTCTGGTGGAACATGGAGGGGCTCTGAGAAGGACATGGGAGGAGTTAGATGGGATGTTGGGGGCTTGTGTGGGATGAGAGTGGACTTGGGTGGGACTTTGTGGGCTCTGGTGGAAGATGGAGTGGCTTTGAGAAGGACATGGGAGGAGTCAGATGGAATGCTGGGGCTCAGGTGGGATATAGAGGACTTGGGTGGGATGTTGTGGGCTCTGGTGGAACATGGAGAAGGACATGGGAGGAGTCAGATGGGATGTTGGGGGCTTGTGTGGGATGAGAGTGGACTTGGGTGGGACTTTGTGGGCTCTGGTGGAAGATGGAGGGGCTCTGAGAAGGACATGGGAGGAGTTAGATGGGTGGTTGGGGGCTCAGGGGGGATGTGGGTGGAGGTGGGTGGGATGTTGAAGGGACATGGTGAGGATGGAGGGATGTGGGGGGATGTGGTGGAACATGGAGGGACGCTGAGGACATGGGAGGAGTCAGATGGGATTTGAGAGGACTTGAGTGAGACGTTGTGGGCTCTGGTGGAACATGGAGAAGGACATGGGAGGAGTCAGATGGGATGTTGGGGCTCAGGTGGGATAGAGAGGACTTGGGTGGGGTGTTGTGGGCTCTGGTGGAACATGAAGAAGGGCATGGGAGGAGTCAGATGGGATGTGAGAGGACTTGGATGGGACATTGTGGGCTCTGAGGACATGGGAGGAGTCAGATGGGATGTTGAGGCTCAGGTGGGATAGAGGACTTGGGTGGGATGTTGTGGGCTCTGGTGGAACATGGAGGGACTGAGAAGGACATGGGAGGAATCAGATGGGATGTGAGAAGACTTAGGTGAGATGTGGGCTCTGGTGGAACATGAAGAAGGGCATGGGAGGAGTCAGAGGGGATGTTGGGGACTTGTGTGGGATGAGAGTGAATTTGGGGGGGATGTTGAAGGCTCTGGCAGGACATGTGGGGACTCAGGCCGTGGAGGGACTTNGCTCCAGAGCCTGCGCCCACCCCTGGGAAAAGCCACCTGAGCCTGGAGGGGGCACGGCTGCCCTGCGAGGTGCCCGTGGAGCCTGACCTGGATGACGACTTTGGCTCCCACAAGGACTTGGAAGATGATGATGATTTGGCCAACCTTAGCCTGGATCCAGATGTGGCCAAAGGGGACGATGACTTGGACAACTTGGACAGCCTGGAGACAGCAGACCCCCACCTGGATGACCTGCTGAACGGGGATGAGTTCGACCTGCTGGCCTACACCGACCCCGAGCTGGACACTGGGGACAAGAAGGACATCTTCAATGAGCACCTGCGCCTGGTGGAGTCGGCCAACGAGAAGGCAGAGCGGGAGGCCCAGCTCAAGACAGAACCACCAGCGCCCACCTTGAAGCTCCCTGACACTGGGGACAGCAAAGATGTGACCCCATCTGCGGAGGATCAGGAGGTGCCCAAGGAAGGATTGGTGTCTGGGATGGGCTTGGGACTCTCTGCCTGCCCCACGGGCACTGTGCTGGCCCCCGACCCGACTTTCAAGGCGCAGGGTGCAGAGGCAAAGCCCGGCTCGCTGCCCACTGATGTCAAGCCCAAGCTGGAGGAAGGCTGCCTGAAGACCTCGCCCTGCCAGTTCACCACCGCTGGTCCCCCCATCAAGTCAGAAGCACTGCAGGGCACAGATAAAATCTCTGCCTCGCTGGGGCTGAGTGTCAAACCTGGCCAGACCCTCCTGAGCTCCAGCACCGGCCCCACTCGCCTCGGCATGACTCAGTTCTCCAACAGTGGCCATGCCGGTGTCCCCGTGCTGGAGAAGGACCCCTACACCGGCCCTGGCCGTGGGCTGGCAACTGCCCAGCTGGGTGGCCAGAGCAACCCCTTGCTGGAGAAGTTCGAGCTGGACAGTGGAGCTTTGGGGCTGGGCAGTGCCCGACACTCGCCAGCAGATGACCTGGACAAGATGGAGAGCTCGTTGGTGGCCAGCGAGCTGCCCCTGCTCATCGAGGACCTCCTGGAGCACGAGAAGAAGGAGCTGCAGAAGAAGCAGCAGATGTCAGCCCACCTGCCCCGTGGCACCCCGCACCTCCAAGCCCCGGGGCACCCCATGCTGCACACAGGGGCATCTGGGCAGCCTCCNTCTTTTCCAGCCTCATTAATTCTGTGGCTCTCCCTTCCCTTGGCAGCTGTGTGGAACCGGATCATCGAGCCAGTGGCGATGATGAGGAAGGAGGCCGACATGCTGCGACTCTTCCCTGAGTACCTGAAGGGCGAGGAGCTCTTCGGCCTCACGGTGCACGCGGTGCTGCGCATCGCCGAGTCGGTGGGTCCCGGGGTGGGCATGGAGCTCTCTCCTCCACACTGGGGGTCCATCCTGCTGCTGCCTCTTGACCCCCTGTCCATCTCCCCCTCTGCAGCTGCCGGGTGTGGAGAGCTGCCAGAATTACCTGTTCCGCTATGGGCGCCATCCTCTGATGGAGCTGCCCTTGATGATCAATCCCACTGGCTGTGCCCGCTCCGAGCCCAAGATCCTCACCCACTACAAGCGGTAAGTGAGGCTGGGATCCACCAGCAGAGCTGGGATCCACCAGGAGAACTGGGAACCACCAACAGAACTGGGATCTCTCATCTCTAACCCTTCTCATCCCCCTCTCCTCAAAGGCCCCACACCCTGAACAGCACAAGCATGTCCAAGGCCTACCAGAGCACGTTCACGGGCGAGACCAACACGCCCTACAGCAAACAGTTTGTGCACTCCAAGTCCTCCCAGTACCGGCGCCTGAAGACGGAGTGGAAGAACAACGTGTACCTGGCACGGTCCCGCATCCAGGGGCTGGGGCTCTACGCGGCCAAGGACATCGAGAAGCACACGATGGTCATCGAGTACATCGGCACCATCATCCGCAATGAGGTGGCCAACAGGCGGGAGAAGATCTATGAGGAGCAGGTGGGGCTCTGCTGGGGGTGCTGGGGGCTTGGGCGAGATGTGGAGGGACTTGGGTGGGA